TCTTCAGCTTCAGTTTGAATTTGCATGATCTGTTCCACAGTCTGCCCATGGCCTTGTTTTCACTGATGATGTGGAGCTTTACCATCTTCTTTATCCACAGATGTAGTCAATTTGATTTCTACATATTCCATCTGGTGAGGTCCATGTGTATAGTCATCTGTTATGCTGTCTAAAGAAGGTATTTGAAATGAACAAATCATTGGTTTTGCAGAAGTCTATCATGCATTCTCCAGCATCATTTCTATCAACAAAGCCATATTTTCCAACTACTGATCCTTCCTCTTTGCTCCCAATCTTTGTATTCCAATCAACAGTAATGATCAATACATCTTGATTGCATGTTTGATCAATTTCAGATTGAAGAAGTTGGTAGAAGTCTTCTATTTCATCTTCACTGGCTTTAGTGGTAGGTGCATAAATCTGAATAATAGTGGTATTAATTGGACTTCCCTGTAGGCGCATGGATATTATCCTATCACAGACAGCGTTGTATCTCATGACTGACCTGGATATGTTCTTTTTGACAATGAATGCAACACCATTCCTCTTCAATTTGTCACTCCCAGCATAGTAAACCATGTGGTTGTCAGATTCAAAATGGCCAATACCAGTCCATTTCAGCTCACTAATGCCTAAGATATTGATGTTTATGCGTCCTATTTCATTTTTGACAACTTCCAATTTTTCCAGATTCATACTTAGAACATTCCATGTTCCAATTTTCAATGGATGTTTACATCTGTTTCTCTTCATTTTGAGTTGTGCCCCATCTACACACCTAGAATGCCCTAATTCCAACTTTACATATCTAAATCACTATTCAGCAAATATTTATGTGCTAGTCACTGTGCTATGAGTCAGAACAGACTCCATGACACTTAACAACAACTGTCACTGTGGTAAATACTAGAGACAGAATAAATAATATAGATATAACCCCTGATGCCAGTTTTCCCACTCTTAGAGATCTTCTAAACAGGAGTGGTTTTCCAACTTTAAGTTGTTCTTAAAGTCTGTAACATTCACTGGGCTTTTATGATTTGCTACCTTGGAGTCGGTACTGAAAACAAGTTTGTAAATTAACAAGTATTTCTAAAAGAAGGAAAAGCTTGTGGGATGGGAGGAGTCTTCATCTAGCAAAGGATCAGCACAGTGGTGCTCTAAAAAACTGGGATCAGAAGGGAGAAAACAAGGACTGCAGGAACTCCAAACCTGCTAAAAGCACCTGGGAAGCCTTATTTTTCCAATATCAATTGCAAAGAAAATTGTAACTGGCAACAATTAAGTCAGGATCAGCTACCCGGAGTTTTGGACGTAGACATTTCTTCAAAATGAAAAGAAACAGCTGCAAACGTTCATTGATAATAAGAACATGAAATGTACCAAGTATGAATCTAGAAAAAATGGAAATTATAAAAAATGAAATTGAAGATATATATCCTAAGCATTAGTGAGCTGAAATGTACAGTATTGGCTATTTTGAATCAGAAAATCCTAGTCTCCTACGATGGAATGACACATTGAAGAGGTCACATTCATTGTCAAAGGAACATTTCATGATCTACCCTGTGGAATAAAATCCACATACTTATAAGGATGATAATACGACTATTATTCAAATTTACACAACAACCAATAAACCCAAAGATGAAGAAATTAAAATTTTAACAACTCCTGCAGTCTGAAATTGATCAAACGTGCAACTAAGATGAATTGATAATTACTGGTAATTGGGATGTGAAAGCTGAAAACAAAGAGGAAAGATAAGTAGTTGGACATATGGCCTTGGTGGTTGTATATCTCATGATAAGAATTTTTTGAGACCAATGAATTATTCACTGCAAATACCTTTTTTCAACAGCATAAATGGCAAATGTACATGTGGACCTTTCCAGAAAGAATACAACTCAGGAATCAAATAGAGACAATGGAGAAGCTCAATTATCAGTCAGAAAAAGGGAAGAGGCTGACTGTAGAACAGACCATCAAGAGCTCATATGCAAGTTCAAGTTGAAGTTGAAGAAAATTAAATCAAGTCCATAGGAGCCAAAGTCTGACCTTAAGTATATCCTACCTGAATGCAGAGGCCATCTCAAGGATAGATTTGACAAACTGAACACTAATAACTAAAACCCACACAAGTTATAAGATGACATCTATATCATCAAAGCAAAGAGTCATTACAAAAACAGCAAAGACAGAAAAGACCAAATGGATATCAGAAAAGACTCTGAAACTTGTCTAGAATATAGAATAGCTAAAGTGAATAGAAGAAATGATGAACTAAAAGAGAGCCGAATAGCAGATTTCAAAAGGCAGTATGAGAAAACAAAGTAACGAAATGTGCAAAAACCTGGAGTTAGAAAACCAAAAGGAAAGAACATGGTCAGCGTTTTTCAAGCTGAAAGAACTGAAGAAGAAATTCAAGACTTGAGTTGCCATATTGAAGGATTCTATGGGCAAAATATTGAACAATGTAGGAAGCCTCAAAAGAAAATGTAAGAATACCTAGAGTCACTGCACCAAAAATAATTTGTTTGACATTCAACTGTTTCAGGAGGTAGCATATATTCAAGAATGATACTGAGGGAAGAAATCCAAGTTGCACTGAAGGCATTGACAAAAACAAGATTCCTGGCCTTGATGGTTTCAAAAAATGGATGTAATGCTGGAGGTGCTATCTCATCTATACCATGAAAACTGGAAGACAGTTACCTGGTCAACTGACTGAAAAAGATTCATATTTGTGTCCATTCCAAAGAACAGCGATCCAACAGAATGCAGAAATTATCTAATAACATCATTCATATCACACTTGAGTAAAATTTTGCTAAAGTTAATTCAAAAAGAGTTGTAGTGGTGCATGGACAGGGACTGCCAAAAATTCAAGCCAGATTCAGAAGAGGACATGGAATGAGGGGCATCATTGTTGATGTCACATCAAAAGCAGAGAATATCAGAAATATTATCTGTTTTTTATTGCTATGCAAAGGCATTTAATTGTGTGGATCTTAACAAATTATGGATAGCACTGTGAAGACTGGGAATTCCAGAACATTTAATTGTGTTCATGATGAACCTGTACATAGGTCCTTAGGCAGACCTTTGAAAAGAACAAGAGGATACTATGTGGTTTTATATCAGGAAAGGTATG